ATGGCAGCTAACAACTCTCTGTAACTCCAGTTCCAGGGGATCCAATGCCTTCTTCTGACCTCTGTGGGCATTGCACGAGACGTTTGCACTTACATACATGCAGCAGGCAATACACTCATACACATAAAATAAAAATAATACAGAAAATATTTAAGTATCTAAGAGACAAAAGACTCTGAGTTCAAACTCTTGCTTTGTGACTGGGAAAACTTGGACTAGCCATTCCTATGAGACACATTTTACTTGCCTATGAAATGAGGATAGTCATGATAAGGACAACTAAATCTTAGGGTCCCTGTGAGAACCAGAAAAGTGACTGGATATGAAAGTGTGCTTTAACTAAGATCCCAGAGAAGGTGGAAGATGGTGTGTAAAGCAGCCTTTTTCAACCCCAGCGCTACTGACATTTGTTGGCAGCTGTGTGTTGGTGGGGACTGTCCTGTGCACTGCAGCATCTATGACCTCTGCCCACGGTTAGCCAGTGGTACCCTCTTCTTCCTTGCCCAAGTTCTGGCAACCATAGACACCCCGGATATCTCTAGTTGGAGGAGGATGCAAAAACCTGTCCTGACTGAAAACACTGGTGGTAGAGAAGGCAGAAGGAGGCTTGGAACCCAAATTGGGGCTTGACCCCCAGGGATGGTCTCTTCTTTGATGGAGGGAGCCATCTCCTTCCAAGGAAGTGAGACTTCTCTCTCTCCCCCTCTTCCCATGAGCAAGGAACCCCTCCTTGCTAATAGCAAGAAGATTATCACTTGCGAACTACTCTTAACAAAATCAAAGAACAGGTAACAGGAACCAGAGGGTGATTAAACAATTGGTTTTCTGTGGCTATGGAGATAATTTCTGATGCTTTTGCTCCTGTCTTGTCAGATGAACCCTCCAAATCAGCAGGTTCAGAGTTATAAGGACTGGGTTTGCATTTCCTGAGATGACAAGAAGAAAGGTCGGAGGAGGACAGCCTGAGGGCCAGCAATGAGAGAGCCTGGCATGCACAGGAAAACACTGGTGCCCAGGAGAAATCCCACAGCTGCCAGTTCCCCCAGCTGGCTCAGCCAGGAGGAGGTACTCTAACATATTTCTGATGATTTAAGCCACTGTGACCCCAGCTTTGGACTTAGTCAGGGATTAGCCTTCCCTCCCGGGCACAGGATGCCCAGGTACCCCCTCCCTCTGGAAAGGAAGCTAGGAAAGGAAGTCCCCACGCCTGCTCCTGGCAGCTGCATGTCCCCAGACCCCCAGTGGCTCAGCAGAGGCCGGATACAGGAAATGGGTGGAGGCCAGGCGATGCCAGTAGAACCTTCAACCTGGACCTCCAGGCTCATCCAATTCTTCTCATACCCGAGAGCAGTCCTTCGGCACATACAATTTGATTAGGACAGGACCCTTAGTTCTGCTGCCTCTTTACATGTGGTATCACTCTGTTCTGAGCCCAGCTGAGGAAGGTTTGATCAGTCCTGCCATGCTGTGCCAACACAGGCACCAGTGATATGGTACTTTTCTGAGAATGGTGCCCCAAAGTTGTGCAGTGTAGATTCTGATCTTGGTATACTGATGGCAGTTCCAGCCCCTTCTGCAGCCCTTTCATATAACCAGAAGGTACCTCAGTTTCTCCAGCCTTCTAGCTTTTTTATGCCTTTGGGCCTCAGCCAGGCCTCTTCCCCAAAGGCAGGACCCTGCAGCCTGCACTTCTCCCCCAGCTCCCTGCTAGAGTTCTGCTTCCTGTGGCTTCCAGGGTAAAGCAGAATGGTTCAGGCCCCTTTGGATGCAGCCCTGAGTTCCTGCCCTTACCTCCTCCAATGTGTTCATCTGGGAGGCCACCTTGTGGATATAGGCGTGCACTTTCATCAGGTCCATGCTGTATAGAGTGCCCTGCAGGAGATCCACCATGGATTGCAGCTGTGGGGGGGCATGGAGAGGCAGATGGTTAGGTAAGGACCTGAGCATACCAGGCCTGAGGATGCAAAAGGAGCCCCACTGTGGCAAAGAACCCCAGAGCCCAGAGAATCACAGTGGCCACCTCTTGGTACTCACTAGCTCCAGCCTGCTCACAACCCCAGGAAAAATAGCAGATTTGCATATTTGTGTTTTCTATTTTGAGGTGCTGGGAATCAATTCCAATGCCTTCTTCATGGTAGGCAAGTGCTCTACCATTGAGCCACATAGAAAATTGTCACCTATAGTGAAAAGTGGCTAGTCCCCAAAGGTGCCAGGGTATGTGTGTCTTCAAGAGGCAGTTCTGGGTATGACTGACTGTTGTGGACACCCGAAAGTCCAGCTTCCTGGCCCCAGGGGGAGGATCTGAGCCTTCATCCCCTACTCTAGAGCACCTAGAGGGCCCAGACTGAGATTATTCTTTGATTTTGGGATCACATCCTTCCTTATTGGGCAGTCTCTCCTCCTAGCCCTGCCTCACACACTTTGTTAGTATCTCTGGGGAGTGCTTTTATAACAGGCCACTTGCTGATGAATCATTGGCTTCCAGGCCTGCTTCAAGTGACCAGCCCAACCCTAGGTATGGGTCACTTTTATGCTTCTTGTATAGATTAGAAGCCGTAGTTCAGAGAAGTGTAATGACTTGCCCAAAGTCAATAGCGTTAAGTGGTGGAACCAGATCAGTATAAATGCAAACTGTTTCCTAGAATACTTACTGGACCTTTTCTGTATTATGAGAGGGAAACAGAGCCTGGAGCTGATGCCAGACCCCCTTGCCCAGCCCTGGGTTCTGCCCTACAGTGACCCTCTCCCGCTCTCTGCCATACCTCATCAGTATATGACACTCACTCCAGATGGCCAACATGCCAGGGCAAGTGTCAAAGGGCTCGTTGGCACTTTGGGAAGGATGGTCTCCTCCAGCCCAACAGGTTTGCACAGCCCCATCCAAGCCTTACAGTCTTCCTTGAGGCCTACAAAACCACTGCTGCTCCTGTCTGACCCATACAAGCTCACTCCCACTTTCCCAGGGAATTCCAACTGCTCTAAGCCAGGGAACTTTTCCTGAGAGGAAGCTGACCTCTGAACACATAACGGGTGGAAAGCGTGCTGGAGGCAAAGATAGGAAGCTGTCTCCTCGCTCCCCTCTACTGTGTTCTGGCCCTGAGGGGTTCTGGGTACCCCTGGAGTTCTGTGGACCATAGTTTGAGTATCATGCCATCATGCCTCCACTTCCTTCTCTGTGAAGTGGGGTGGTAGAGCTGTGGTGAGAAGCGGCAGCATCCCATGGCATGGGCACATAGTAATGTTCTGAGTACCGATGACAATGACTTATTAATTTTATTCTAGGGATTCCAGGAGATGATCCTAGCTTCCCTCTGCCACCTTTGTGGCCCCCCAAACTGACTTTACCGGGTCTCTCTCCTACTAGATAACTTTCTGTCCACATGTGGCTTCCTATCACGTTAGCCTACCATTTGAGTCCTTCACGAAATGCCCCTGCCACCCTCTTTGGACCCAGCAGGACAGGGATGAACAAGACATGTGTGAGCCCTGTGGTCCTTCACAGGCTGTTGAGGACAAAGGAGTGACACACGGTACCTACAGCACTCATTATAGGGTTCTGACTTACTCTGGGGAGCAGGTGTGGGTTTGGTCTGAGCTAAGGTCTAGAGGAGAAGCACACACTGGACAAGGCTTTCCAGGAAAGGACATTGCAGCCAAGGCTGGGCTGGTGCTAGGAGCTGAGGTGAGGGACGGTATGTAGGAGCTGTGCTACGCTCACTGTGCCCTGAGGGCAGTGTGGGTACAAGCTCCTTGCTTCGTCTATAATAAAATAATTACAGAATGGTTAGGGGTTGGAGAGATGGCTCAGCAGTTAAGAGCACTGGCTGCTCTTGCAGAGGACCCAGGTCTAGTTCCTAGCACCAATGTGGCAGCTGACAACTTCTTGTAACTCCAGTCCAGGGGATCTGACATCCTCTTCTGGCCTCCACAGGCATTGTATAGACAAGGTGCACTTACATGCATGCAGGTATAACACTCATAAAATATAAATAAATAGGAGCTGGAGAGATGTATCAGTGGTTTAGAGCACTGGCTATTCTTGCAGAGGACCGGGGTTCAATTCCCAGCACCCACATGACAGCTAACAACTATCCGGAACTCCAGTTCCAGGGGATCTGATGCCCTTTTCTAACCTCTGCAGGCATCGCATGACATGGGTACACTTAAAACATGTAGGCAATATACTCATACATACAAAATTAAAAATAATAAATAAAATGTTGTAAATATATGTAAATAAATATTTTTAAATATTTTTTAAAAATTGGGGATAGAGTAAGTCCACTTCCAGGAGATCCAATGCCCTCTTCTGACCTCCACAGGCATTGCATGACATGGGTGCATCTACCTGCATGCAGGCAATACACACATAGACATAAAATAAAAATAATAAATAAAATATTTTAAAAAATATATTTTAGCTGGGTGTGGTGGTGTATGCCTTTAATCCCAGTACTTGGGAGGCAGAGGCAGGTGGATCTCTGTGAGTTCAAGGCCAGCCTGGTCTACATAGTGAGTTCCAGGACAGCAGGGGCTACAGGGAGACCCTGTCTCAAAAAGACCAAATAAATAAATAAATAAATAAATATATGTATTGACTCATAACAAGATATTGGACTTGAATTTGGCATGCCTGTTTTCTTTTCTGACCCTTCTGTCCTTCTTTCCTTAGTTCCTCTCTTTATGTATATATGTGTATTTGTGTGTGGAGGAAGTATGTGCGCACAATGTGTGGGGAGCGTGCTCATCCATGGAGTCCATAGGTCAATGTTAGGTATCTTCCTCTATTGCTCTCCCCCTTATCTCCTGAGACAAGGTCTCATGGAACCTGGAGTTCACCATTTCAGTTAGACTATGGCCAGCAAACTCCAGGGATCTGCCTGTCTCTGTCCTCATCAGTGCTGGGGTTCCATACATGTGCTGGCATGTCTGGTTTTTATATGGGTACCGGGAATCCAAACTTGGATCCTCATCCTTGCATAGCAAGCACTTTGAGCCATCTCTCCAACCCTCCTCTTCTCTTCTTCCCCCTCCTCTCCCCCTCTCTTTCTCTCTACTTACCACTGACCTATATGCTCAGCTTTATTTCTAAATAATAAAAAATTACTTCTTTTTTTTTTGGTCTTTTTGAGCATAGCCCCAGCTGGCCTGGAACTTGCTATGAAGACCAGGCTGGCCTTGAACTCACAGAGCTCCACCTGCCTCTGCCTCCTGAATGTTGTGATTAAGGGCATGCACCACCACCCCAGGCTCTACAATTCATTTCTATAGTATTTCACAAAAGTACTAGTTCTCCTTTAATCCCCACACTTGAGACTCCTATGCATCCCTCAGGCCTAGGCCCAATGTGTTAGTCCCTTCTGGGGGCTCCCATGGTTCCTGGAAAACTCTTGGCCCAGTACAGATCACACTGCCATTGCTGGGGTCTGAAGTGTGTCTTAACAAGCCTGGGAACTCCTCAAGGGCGGGGCCATGTCAGGCCCATGTTCTGAAAGAAAAAGATGGAAGTGGTAAGAGGCATTTCCCTGTGTCAATCTACCCAAAAAAGGGGGCAGGACAGCATTCACTCCCTTACATAGCTATGCAGCCTAGGCCAGATCACAGCTGGAGTTGTTAGCATGGGAGAGGAGCTGGGGTAGAAAGGTGGGCTTATAGGGCAAGTGCCATTCTGGGGGCTCCCCTTCATTCTCTCCCTGGGATGTTTACATAGAACCTCCTGCTGAGGACAGGAGAGCCAAATGATTGGGAGAAGCCCCTTTCTCCTTTTGGGGTTCCTTGGGTGCCTCTCAAGTAGTCACTCCTGTCTCTGGGATGTCCTCTCCTCCTTTTCCTCTGTTCCCACATGATAAGGTGACCCCATTTATACCCTCCTTCAGTTCTCCAAAGCCAAGTCAAGACCCTGTAGGAAGACCCTGTGGCTGCCATGCAACAAGAAGGTCCAAAGGACAATGGTCTGGTGAAAACTGTGGCTTCGTGCCCTTTCTGGTGGACAAGGGAATGCAGTACAGAATTCTGGATTCAGATCTGTTTTTTAATGTGTGTATGAGTGTTTTGCCTGCATGTAAGTATAACCATGTGTGCAGTGCTTGAAGAGACTGGAAGAGGGTATCAGATCACCTGGAACTGGAGTTATGGATGATAGGTAACTACCATGTGGGTGCCGGGAACTGAACCTAGGTCTTCTGTGATTACAAGTGCTCTTAGCCACTGAGCTATCTCCAGCTCCCTGCGTTCAGACCTTGATACTGTCACTCATAGTTGTGTGATCTTAGGAAAATTATAACCCTTCTCTGGACTCAGATTGTATTACAAGTAAAGCTGACAGCATCAGCAGCCTTTCCAAAGAATACTAGCAAAGATGCATGAGCCAGCACAGAGGGGAAGGGCTCTATGTGCCTTCATGACAAGTGTGTTCATAACTCAGTTATAGGAGTCAGGCATGATGGCACATACTTATAATCCTAGCAACTGGGAGGCTGAGGCAGGAGGATTGTTGATAAAAGTTTGAGGTCAGTCTGGGCTGCATATGGAGTTCAAGGCCAGCTAGATTCATAAAACAAAACCAACAAAAATTCCAGTTTAGTTATTGAGTCCTTGACTTGAGCAGAAACTGGGTTTGTCCCTGTAACTGCACATAGGCCTATGGGCTAGATGTCTGGAGTCTGCAAAGCAATAAGGAGGCCCCAGGGAAACAGTGTGGGGATCCAGGTTCTGCCATGTTGTCAGAAGGCCGCTTGGCTTAAAATGCACCTCCCCTTCCAAGTTTGATCCTTTTGCCATTCGTTTATGTGCTACAAAAATAAACCTAAGGTTAAATTTGAAGAAAACATTTTTAGCCAAATGCTGAGAGATAGTACTTCATGGATCTCTTGCTTTCTTGAATGTCTTGCATGCAGAGGAACCATGTTAGAGCCTTGGGTGATAGAAGAGCACTTCCTTCCCTCCAGTGAATGACCCATGATTAGGGTTCTCTGAGTTCAGGGTTCTGTATCCCATACCACAACATATGCTGGCCCTCATCTCATCACCCTGGGAATAGGAGCACAGCAAACCAGTACAGGAAAGTGGAGATTAGCTGGGAGTCATGAAGTTCTTTGTTTTCCACTAGCATCCCATAGTTTGGCACAGTGACGTGTTAGTTTGTACAAGCATTTCAACCCTGTCATGGTTTCTGACACCAAACAGATAAAAGAGATGTGTGTTTGGAAGAGATTGTAAGAAAAAAGACTTTCAAAAGATATCAATCTGGTCCTTTAAAAGGCCTAACTAATGGGTCCTTTAGAGAAGGGGGATAGAGGAGCTTTAGACACAGCAGGACCTGGGTACAAATCCCAGCCCCACCAGGCTGAGTACTGACCTGGCAGTGCATGCATGTAATCCTAGAACTTGGGAAGTGGAGGCGGGTGGATCAGAAATTCAAGATCATCTTGGGCTACATAAGGAGTTTGAGGCAAGCCTTGGATACACAAGACCCTATTTCAAGAAAATAAATAAAAAGCAAATAAATAAATAAAATAAGCCTGGCATGGTGGCACATACTTATAATCCTAGAACTCAGGAGGCAGAGGCAAGAAGATCGCTCCAAATTGAAGCTTATTATTCTGGTGTAGATAGTGAATTCCAGGTCAACATGGACAGCAGAGTTTGGCCTTGTCTCAAACAAAACAAAACAAAATAAACAAAATAATAATAAAATGGCCCAGCATTTAGAACAGATGTGCCAGCAGATGAAAAGGTTTGGGTGATACCTAGGTGGGAGAGATTCAAGGGGCCCCACTGACAAGCCTGCCAAGAATCCTGTCTCTAACACTGGCTTCAGTTCAGGGAGCCTCAGTTTCTCAACCTATGACATGGATGTCACAGAAGGACAGCCTGGGCCTCCCTCCTCCTTCCACTGGTTCAGCCTACCTTGAGGAGTTCCGGTGCCTGCCTTTTGAGTTTCTCCATCTTCCACTCATTCTCACAGGGGTTGAGTGAGGAGGGTGGGGCAGTGCAGGAACAGCGGCAGTCACTCCCTGAGCTGAGGGTCTCAACAGTGTAGAAGTCCTCCACCCGAGCACGTCCACTGCGCACCCGGCTGCATGCATCCTTGCTCAGTGGCCGCATGATGCATTTGCAACGGCAGTCAGAGCCCTCCGAAGTCATCCGCACCTGGTCTAGGTCACCAAACACCTGTGGAAGGTGGACAAGAGGCTCAGTCGGCCAGGACTGTGGGGAAGCGGGAGGTGGCAGAATCCAGCCATGTGGTCTCTTGAGTGGCACTTTAGACATAGCAGAGCAGTCTTATCATAACAATTCAAATGTGAGTGCCCAGCTGTGGAAAAGTCCTATGGGTCCTCAGTTAGTTAAATAGAATTATCAGAAGATCCAGTAACTGTTTGGAAAATGGTATCAAAGACTTATGTGTGAATCTTCATAACTGTGTTTCAATTGTTAGAAGGTGAAACAACCCACTTGCCCAGCTAACTAGACAGAAAATGTGGCTGGTTAAGTATAATGAAATATTATTCATAGTGAAAACGCTATGCTAAGTGAAAGAAGCTAGACACACGGGGACTGGAGAGATGGCTCAGTGGTTTGTTCTTGCAGAGGACCTAAGTTCAGTTCTCAGCACCCAAACTGGGCAGCACACAACCTCCTGTCAGATCCAGGGGATCTGACACCTTTTTTCTGGTCTCTGTGGGCACTTGCACATACACCTCCCCCAACAAAATATATAAAATTAAAAATTTAAAAATAAGCTGGGCGTGGTGGTGCTTGCCTTTAATCCCAGCACTTGGGAGGCAGAGGCAGGCAGATCTTTGCGAGACCAGCTTGGTCTACATAGTGAGTTCCAGGCCAGCTGGGGCTACAGGGAAACCCTGTCTCAAAAATAAATAAATAAATAAATAAATAAATAAATAAAAATAAATTGGGTTTGGTGGCTCACGCCCTTAATCCCAGCACTCAGGAAGCAGGGGCAGGTAGATCTCTGTGAGTTTGAGGCCAGTCTGGGCCAGATAACCAGTTCAAGAGTTCCATACTATCCAGGACTCTGCATAATGAGACCCTGTCTCAAAAAAACAAAAAAAAAAAAACATAAAAAAACTAAAAAGAAACCAGACACAAACAGTCTATATCGCAAGATTCTATTCATATGAAATAGAATATACAAGTCCATAGAGTCAGGGAGCAAAATTAGTGGTTATCAGGACTCGGAAGAGGGGAAAGGGGAATGATTGTTTAGTAGATACAGGTTTTGGGGGTGGGATAGTAATAAAAATGTTCTGGAACTAGATAGTGATAGCTGTACAAACAGTGAGTGTATGAAACACTTTAAAATGGTCAAGCTGGGCACACTGTGTGTACATACAGTCCCTGAAACTAAGATAGTATGACACTGTGATTACTTGAGTCCAAGAGTTTGTAGCCAGCCTGGGCAATGCAGTAAGGCCCTATCTCTAAACAAATAAACAAGAAAGAAAGAAACAGAAAAACCACCAAATAGTTTTTTTTTTTTTTTTAAAGACAGGGTCTCCCTGTAGCCCCAGCTGGCCTGGAACTTGGTATATAGACTAGGCCGACCTGATCTCACAGAGCTCCACCTGCCTCTCTGCCTCCAGAGTGCTGGGATTAAAGGCATGTGCCACCATGCCTGGCTCCAAATGATCATTTTCTTTTATTTTCCATATAAAAAAAGAAAAAGAATGGGCACCTTTAATTGAGCACTTACCACATTAAGTGAGCATTTACTGCATCCTAGGTTGTCAAATGCATTATGCCTTTCAATAATACCTGTATGTGTAGAGATGGGGTTCTGCTCCTTCCAAAGTCTTTACCACAGTCCTCAAGACTTATGTGACACTCCCTCTCTAGCTGTTCTTCCTCCTGTCCTTCCCTTCTGCTGGCTCAGTCTCAGGTTCCCCCTCAAAGCTTCATCTCAACACCATTCCCAGGCTTCATATCACTTGGTTCTTTGCTCACATCACCTCCTCCAAGAGGCCTTCCCTGACTTAACCCCCTACCATGCTACTCTCTATCTCTTCATTTTAGGACCCTTTTCTTTATTGTAATTACTACCTGAAATACAATCAATATTTGCTTATTTCCTGTCTTACCTAACTCCATTGTAGGCATCATGGATGGGGGTATCTGGGGTGTAGCACTATAGTAGAGTACTTGCCTAGCACATAGAAGACCCTTGGTTCCATCCTAGTACTGGAGAAAAAAATTTAGAGTCAGGGGAGTGGTCTAGTTCCCTCCTGTATCCTCAGCTGTGCCCACCTGCCCTGGAGAAGGGGTTCCGTAACACCTGCTGAGTAAAGGAGCCGCACTCTGCAGCCGTGCTGCAGTGCAGGGCTAAGACTGCAGGGAGGGCCTGGAGTCTGGGTGAGAAGACAGCAGTAACTCAGTCTTTCTGTTTCTGCAGTCTTCCCGCATCTGGAAAGTGGGGTCCTGCCTTAGGGGCTGGTGAAGATGAGATGGGCTTAGTACAGAAAATGGACAAGAGCTGGCACTTTCCCAGTGTGCCTTATCTGAGCCATTATTAAGACATTATGTCTCAGAGAGGTGAAGTAACAAGCTCAAGGTCACACAGCTTTGAAATAGATGGGGTCCCTGCTCTGTTGTTGCTTCTTTCTATTCTTTGACAGTTTCACACATGCATGTAATGATTTTTGGTAATTTTCTTCCCCCATTACCCTCTCTCATCCCCTGCTCTCTCCTGCTGAAACCTTTCCAAGTCCCCCTCCTACTTTCGTGCGTGTGTGTGTGTGTGTGTGTGTGTGTGTGTGTGTGTGTGTGTGTGTGTGTGTGTGTTGGGTTTAATTAGAGTTGCTTGCATGAGCCAGGGCAGGGGTTATTTACTGGAGCATGGGCAACTTATCAGTGGCTACACTCCTCCCCCAGCAACCATTAACTGCCAATAGTCCTCAGGGAGGGGAAGGGCCTCAGAGTCCATTCCCCCCCCATGTTACTTGTTTAGAACTGTTCTCTCATGCCTGGGTGTCAGTGACCTTCAACAGTTGTAAAACCTTTCCAAACTTCTTTCAATGGCAGAATGGAGGACTCTCTTTACCCAGCATTCTCATAGAGTGGGATCACATGAGACATCATGTCCTCAAGGAAGTGGTTTCTTTCCTTCCATTTCCAACTTCCCTTCAACCCCATTGTGGGATGACACACAGCTCCTGTTCAGGTGCAGCCACTGGTCTCTGGGGCATTAGGGCTCCATGTCCAAAGGTGGCAATCCAGTGAGAAGAGTGGCAGGTGCCAGGCTCAGTCATAGACTCCAGCCTGCCTTGCCCAGACACATTTGGCCTGTCACCTGGACTCCAGAGCACACAGCTATCTGGCTCCTTCTACAAACCTCACTCCAGGTCCCTGGCTTCTTAGCTGTCACAGGAGCATGAGCTGATAGATCACAGTCATGGGAGCATGAGCTGATAGATCACAAGTTAGCTCGTGGCACCCTGGTTCTCTGTCAAGTCCCAGGGTCCTGTGGGAAGGGGATTTAGACCTTCATTTCCTCTCTACACCCTCAGATACCTGTTTCAGGCCCTAGCCCCTGCCAGGCCCTGGGAGATAACAGCTGGAGGTGCTGAAGAAATAGACCATGGTGTGTTTTTTACCCTTTTGGCCATGGAGAAGTATCACAGTGAGCTCTGAGAACACAAAGACACCCACAAGGCTGGCCATGAGGAAGGCGCCATGAAAGACCTCTGTGGGAAGGGCATTCCTGGGAAGCAAATCAGGCCAAAAATAAACAAGGGTCTGGTTCTTCAGGGAGCCTAGAAGGAGGTCACTCTGGCCGGGGCTTTCAGGAGTCCAGGATGGCAGGAGGTGAGGCTATTGGGTGTGGCAGACACCAGGTCTTGGAGGGTTCTGAAGCTAGCTGGCTGAGGAGCTCAGTTTTCTCCTGAAAACACCAAGGAAGCTGCAACAGCTACAATCTGAACTATCCCCCAAGGCTCTTGTGCTAAAGGCTTGGTTGCCTGCTGATGGGCCTGGGAGATGGGAATCACAAAAGCTCTGATTTCATTGGTGGGTTAATCCACTGATGGATTCATAATTGGATGGCATTTTTGGGAGGTGGTGGAACCTGGGAGTGGGGCCTAGTTGGAGGAAGTAGGTCACTGAGGGTGTGTCCCTGAAGAGTGTATCTTATCCCCAGCCCATTCCTCTCCTTCCTCTTTCCTCCCTTCTTTCCTTCCCCCTCTCCCCTCTACTAGGAGGCCTCCCACTGCACCTTGTACCCTTCACAACTTGCAGAAGAAGTAGAGGAAGTCCACTCAGCCTGGACTCTTCTCCAGTGTACCATTTGATGGCAGGCCAATGCACGCTGGAGTCCATGGCTGAGCATAGCACTTGCTGCTTACCCTTCCAAGGACGGTAAGCAGACTGAGAGGTGCAGTACCAGTCCCACACTCAGCCCAGAGCAGGAACACACAGAGCTGTATGGGCTTTGCAATGGTTATTACAACCCTCATCATCCTAAAGGGGGCTTGGCTGTCTGTCTCTCTCTGTGGGTACACTGGAAAATTGTTTGTTTGCTTTCTATTGTTAGCAGCATCCTACAGATGAGGAAATAACCTTTAAGCTATGAAATGCCAGCTTGGAGAGGATGATCCTGGGCTGTGTGGACATCCCCTGTTTCTTTTGCAGCTGTGCAGGTCCCAGGGTGTATTGAGGGATTAGGAGGGTAGGGAAGGTGGCTGTAGGTCCTGTCCTCTGTCCTGGTCCATTGTAGATGGAGGACACTCTGGGTGATATGGGCTAATTTTTTTCTGTCTGTGAATGGACAGTCAGGCTTGGAGGCCTGCATGCTACCTAGGCTTCTACTGGTCCCAGAACTCCACCTGAGAGGGATTCAAATCCTCTTTTAGCTCTGCCAGGATCCTTTGTCACTGTATCCACTTTCCTAATGGGACCAAGAGTCCAGCAGGTAGATGTGTGTATGTATTCTATGTGGCCAAACCAGAGAGAGATCTTGGGATACCTATTCATTGACTCCAGCTACACCCCACCAGCAGCTGCCTCCACATTAGATTGCTACATTCCTTCCTCCTCAGATGAGGTGCTACGTTCTGACAGGGATGGCCAAGGCCCTTACACTGCCAGGAGTTGGAAGAAGGCCCCTGTTTCCAGCCACAGTTGCCAGAAACCCAACAGGGTCCTGCCTCTGGTGGGATACGTCTGGAGACAACAGAGCACTTGATGAAGAGCCAGGCCTGGGCTATAATCTCAGTGCCCTCACCTCTTCCCCGTATGGTCTTGACCACTCTGAGCCTCAGCTTCCTCCTCTGTAAAATGAGGTGAATATCGGAACTTTCTTGAGCTTGTCATGAAATTAAAAACTGAATGCATGCAGAGCACCTGACATGGGCCTGACCCAGAATAACTGCTAATTTAAGCAATCTGTGCTACACAGGCTGCTGCTAGAAGGCCTTCCTCACATTATCGAGGCATTTCCCAGCTTTCTTTATTCTCATCACAGCCTTAGCGAACAAAGGAGAGAGTTGAACATCAGGGAAGGCCAGAAGCCTGCCCACCTTGGCATGAAGGCTGCAGTTGCTGTCAAACAGAAGATTCCAGCCTCAGCCCCCATCTTTCCCTGTAGCTTTGCCCAGCACAGGCTTGCCAAAGCAGGTGGCTGTCTTTTGTGCTGAGAAAGGTCCCTAGGTATTTGCAAGAAAAACTCACAGTGAGATGATCAGAGGGTGGGCTTGAGGACATTTTTGGAAGAGAGATGGATTGATCTAGCCAGAGTAGGGGAGTGTTCTAACAATGGTAGTTCAGGCTCACATGATGTCACCCTGAAGTTGGAGCTGCCTTCTCTCATGACTAGCCCAGCCTCATCTAAGGCAGTTTTCCTGCAAAGCCCTCCATTGGAGCTCACCTTCTCCTGGAGGTCCAAAGGTACCCCAAACAGTCCATCTAAGACTCTTTCCAGTATCTTCTCTCTATCCTGTGCCCACCTATCCTCCTGCCAAGTCCAGATCTCTGAACCTTCTTTGTATCTTGGACAACCTGCCAATCATCATCTTCTGAGTTGTCACCTTGTGTATTTCCCACCTCTGTACCTTGCTGTCAACCTCATGACCATGGTCCAATGTCATGTACTTTTCTCTCTGCCGATTAATTTCTAAAAGCACCTTCTTTGATGATCTGCATTACTCTCTGGCTCCACAAACCTTAGAAACTGCCTATCACCTTCATGAATTCTGAGCTGGGGAACATGCCTCAGAATTATCTGGGGTTCACTAGGGAAGTGCAGATACCTGGGCCCATCTTTCCCTTCTGTGAGTCAGGCTCTCTCAGGCTTCCTGGGTTATTTGGATGTGCAGTAAGGGAGAACCCTAGCACTCTAGAAGTCTTGGAATACAACTCTAAAGCTCCCTCTGTCTGTGGAGGGTATTAGTGTTTCACTGTGACTGGGGTGTTCAAGTCTGTCCCATGGGGAGGACCCACGAACTTCTGGCAGCATTGACTAGAGAGTTATGTATGATACTGAATACAAGCGCCAGGCATGGGGATTGGCCTGGATGTCCTACGGGGCTGGGGCAGGCTCACCCCTTGTGGAGAGTCTGGGTCAGGCTTGGCCTGACATACTGCACCAGAGAACTCCATTACCCTGTCATCTCAGCTTAGGAACCTGCTTCCAATTACACCCACAGGCCAGGCGGAAACTCCCGAGCACAGAAGCAACACCTAAGCCCTTGGGACTGGCCTGCCTGGAACATCTGACCTGGCCAAAATACCATGGCCTACGCCAGTCCCTTCTGTTCCCCTGTTCTGACTCTTCACTGTCTTTTCACTGTGTTCAAAGCCCCTTCCCACCCTGACCTGCATGCAGAGAATAAAGTCCCAGGAGCACTTCCCAGTATGGAAATTGAGATAAATTCCCAGTCACTTTCCAAGTGGATTCCCAGGGGCATCTGGAGCCATGCCTGGGTGTCATAGGTCTACCTGCCTGTTCATCCCAACCTCTGTGCTGGGCACTTATATAGAAATCCAAGGCCGCCATGAGCTTCCCCTCCTACTGCAGGTCGAACAAAGCATTTCCTTAGATGGAAACTCCAAATCCTGTTTAAGAGAGCCTCACTGTAAACATCAACTTAAAATGCAGGGAGGCCAACAGGGTACCAAGGAAAGTACAGTGGGTAGGAGGGCCTGCCAGGAACAGGAAGCCCAAGGAGGGGTCAACTTAAAGCTGTAGGGCCCTAGATCCACTTGTAGTTCCAAGGTGGCCCTTCAAGCTACACCCACCCCCCACCAAGGAAAACAGAAACCGGCCAGGGGAGGAGGAAGAAGTTGGGGCTGTTACTGGGGAGGGAGAGGGTGACAATGAAAACAGTTCTGCAGAACCAGCAGGAGTCTGGCTGGGCTAAGGAATGCAGAGTAAATTCACCCATCACTTGATTTTTATTTTTCCCAGCTGGCTGAAGTGGCAGTGTAGGAGTGGGAGGTGTCTAAGGGAGGGCTGTGCTGGTCCCCAGCTGCTTTATCCTCCCCCATCCCACCAGCCTCAGCTTGCCCTAGGACAAGTAAATATACCCCCCCACAACCTAGCAAGTGTTTGGCTGACTCACTACATAAACAGGGTGTTGGGTTTTCTTTGTCTTTGCTTTGTTTTGGATGTGAGCCCTCCTGCTTTATAGTCCTCTGAACAGCTCAGAGGATGCCCAAGTCCAAAAGCCCCTCCCAGCCAGAGAGGAAAGGCAGGAGGTAATGCTGACAAGTCATCTGGGATTTTGCTCACTTGTGTTCCTTTCTACCTGAGCCAGATCCTAGAATCTTGGAAGGCCCCATAGGGAAGGGAAGTCGAGGGGACACTGATTTTCAGATGGGGGAACTGAAGCCCAGAGACAGGCAGTGATAATGCCCAAGGTTACACAGCAAAAGAATAGCTTTTGCCCTTTATCAGCTCACAAGTAGTTCAGACTTACATTCTATTAAACTGGAATGTCATCAAGGAGTCATTGCTGCCTCATCCTCTCTGAGCAGGGCCGTATGGTTCCCCTCTAGGTCATTTCTAGAACACTTTTAAGGGGTCCCTGCTCTGACCCTCTATATTCTGGGTCTCATTCCTGTTTCTGCAATTCCTAAGGTATGATCTTTCATCCTGTCATCTCCTGGGCACCTACTAGGTGTAGGTGCTAACCATTTTGCAGGCATAATCTCACTGAATCCAGACATCATTAGCAGTAGAGAGTGGGTACAATCCCCCTCCTCATGATTTTACTACTCTGAGCCTCATAATGAAGGTTCGGAGAGGTAAAAGTACCAGCTAGCTATTCTTTTGCTGTGTAACCTTGGGCATTATCACTGCTTGTCTCTGGGCTTCAGTTCCCCCATTTGAAAATCAGTGTTCCCTTAACTTCCCTTCCCTATGGGGCCTTCCAGGATTCTGTGATCTGGCTCAGGTAGGAAGCTGAGAGGTTAATGTAGAGTTTGAACTCAGGTCTCAGAGGCCAGGAAAGTGGCCAGCCCAGATGGATTCACTGGGGAAGGGACTCTAGATTCTCCAGCCTAATTCACAAGCTTTGGTTTAGGGTGTCCCTGGGAACAGTTGCCTGGGGGTCTGTCCCTAGGTGATCAGCCTTCCAAGAAAACTGTCAGCAAGTTCCCCTCGCTGTCCCCTGTCCCAGTCTAGAGCACCCGGGACTCCCCAGCTTGATCCTGGGTTTGAGGAGTTATCTCCAAGTCCAGCATAAGGTTCCAGTGCCCCTCTCTCAGGATACAGATCCCAAGCACCCCATCATCACCAACACTTCTTCCCACACTCTCTCCTTTTCCAATGTCCTAACCCCGGCAGGTCTTGGGCTAAATCCCAAGTCTCATCTCCCTTTTCCAGGCTCCCATCTCCCAGCCGGGTACACCCTCCACGCGCCCCCCCCACAGCGCCCCCTAGCGCTTATTCCCGCAGAGCTGCGCAGGGTCCCAGCGGCACGCATACCTTACTGTCGGCGCGCACAGGACCTGCCCGCTGCAAAAGCAACAGCAGCAGCAGCAGCAGCAACCGCAGCCGAGGCAGAAGGAGGCACCGAGGCCGGAGAGCAGCCACCGCCATGGCTCGTAGAGCGGGGACGGCAGGGCAGTACTGTGAGTTCCGCGCCGCAGCCGGCTCTGCGCCAGGGTCGCCCCCCCTGCCCGATGCCCCTCCGGCGCTGCTGGGGGCGGAGCTAGGGTGGAGGGGTGCCCGGCCCGCCCATCTCCATCTCCGCCCGCCTCCCTGAGGTCCGGCCGCTCGGCCGAGCGCGTTCGAGCGAGGACTGTAAAAGGGTCTCGTTAGAGCCCGCAGCAAGGAGCACGGCTCGCGCACTGACTGAGGTCCGGTTCCGCTAGATGAGTGACCTCGGGCATCCCCATCGATTAAAGGGAGAAAACAGTCTTTTTGGAGTAATTGCAAAGTTCAAATGAGTGGTGCTTCCAACAGTTTAGCCCCCTTCTCTCTTGCATCTTCCTCCTCTTCCTTGCAGGCCCGGGTGGCTTGCAACCAAATGCCGGTGGCAGTTACCTTTTAAACAACCCTCTCCTCTCAGTCCTCTCTGGAGCATCTGATTTCTCAGCTCCCCAGGCTGAGATTGCTTGTTCCAGGGGTCTTTTCGCTCCTGCTCCTGCAGTCTTCACAAATCACTTGCAACGAAATCCAAGAAGCCAATGCTTACTTTTCCCAATTCAGGTCTGGGACACATTGTGTGGGTTGGATGTGTGTGCTCTTCCATAACCTACGTGTGTGTAGGCCAGAGGCTGATGGCAGGGATGTCTTCCTCAATTGCTTCTCCACATTTTTTTAAAATTCATTTATTATTTTTTAAAATTTTATGTGTATGTGTGTATTGCCTGCACGTAGGTAAGTGTACGGGTGTCGTGCAATGCCCGTGGAGGTCAGGAGAAGCTGTTGGATCCCCTGAGACTGAGCTGTCATGTGGGCACTGGGATTCAAACCCCAGTCAAGAACAACCAGTGTTCTTAACTGCTGAGCTCCCTGGAACTGGCAAAGGCCACTAAAGAAGTAAGGGAACCTCCTACAGACAGAGCACAGCGGGACAGCATATGAGAGGACCTCAACACTGAAAGGGAGGCAAATCAGACTCACAAAAGATCTAATAACAGACAGGAGCAAGTGTTGGCAGGGATGCAGAGAGATAGGAACCCTCACACAGGACTGGTGTGCTGCTTCAGAAAGCAGCCTGGCAGCTCTCTCATGTCAGACAAGGAGTTATTGTTCCAACCCCCCCCCCCTTTTTTTTTTTTTTTTTTTTTTTTTTTGAGATAGAGTCTTTCATTGAACCTGGACGTTTTGGTTTTGGCTACACTAGTTGGCCATTGAGCTAGGCCAGGGACCTACCCAGCTCTGGCCCACCACTGCTGGTATCACACATACACCATTACCACCACCACCATTTCCATAGTTTTCACACGGATGCTGGGCATCTCAATTCAAGTTCTCTTGTTTTAGAAGCAAGCACTTTAACTGCTGAGCCATTGTCCCAGCTTCTGAGTTCTGGGTCACACCTCCTTAAACTACCTCCTGCCTGATTTCTCTCTGGTTTTCCCCTTGTATTTCAACAAGGGGTCCTTTCCAGACTCTCTAACAGGCCCGTCCAACCTTCTGTACACTCTTAAGTGGCTGGACTTCCTTTTCTCTCTCTACATCGTCATTGTAGGTGATCCCTCTCTTGATCACATGTATGTTTACCCGGCTTTGTGAACTTTCATCACACAAACAAGGGATTTTTACTTGTGCCCTTAAATGCCTGCCTTACCCTCCTTACCTCTGCTCTTAAGCATTCACTCTCACCAGAACTGCAACCCTTCATTGTCTCAGAATTAATCCCACAGGGTGTTTCCATCTCCTGATGGAGATGCACTCATGCTTTGCCCCTCTCCCTGAGCTGCTGGCTCAGTGGTTCTCAAAGTGTGTTCTTCCAGGCCAGCAGTCTCAGCACTGCCTGGGAACTGGTTAGAAATACAAAATCTGGATGGGCATGGTACTGTATGCCTTTAATCCCAACACTTGGAAGGCAGAGGCAGGCAGATCTCTGTGAGTTAGAGCTGAGCCTGCTATACATAGTTCCAGGCCAGCCAGGGCTACATAGTGAGACGCTGTCTCAAAAAATCAAAACCTAACCAACAAAAACCCCACAAATTCTCAGACTGGATTCCAGTAACTGAACCAGAAACTCAACAGGAGGTGGAGTCCAGCAATTTATGTTTTCAGGAGCTGTCCATGGGATGTAGTTGGAGAACCGCTGTCCTCATCCCAGGTCGGATGACCTCGTAACTCTCCGCTGACTTCAGTTAAAAAGTCATGCATGTAGTAGGTGTTTGATCCAAATAAGCTTCTAAAGGCCCCTGGGGGGGGGGGTCAGGACCAGGACTAGTGTAAAAACTAATTATCAGTGTGTGTTCTTTTGTACACAGACCATGTCTGAAAGGACACATAACACACCAGCATCGTGGTCATTTCTAAAGAGGGGATTCCCACAGGCAGGATTGGAGGAAGAAAGGTCTTCATTGGCTATTTTTTGTTATTGTTGGTTTGCAAAGTTCCTCCCATCTATTCAAAATATAAACTGTACTTAAAACAAATCCAGCCAGGCGGCAGTTCCAGCCCCAGCTCTTTCTCATGGGTGCCGGCAGCCTGGTTAACTCCAGGTACCACCCAGAACAGCAAGGCTGAGGAACTCACCAGAGGAACTCTGCCCCCTGCTGGCGATTCTTTCACACCAACCTATGGTTTCCTCCTACCCTGCTTGGGACCTTGATTCATGCTGTTTCTTCCACTTGACAGTCTTTCCACACAGTCTGACTCACTCTTGCTTGTCCTTGGCATCTTTAAGGCTCCCAGTTCCAGAATCCTGCTTGTCACTCCTAGACACCTGCACTGTCTGAATGTTCTTAGCTGAAGCATTCATGCAATTGTGGGTTTCTGTGATTATTTGATTGTCTGTCCCCTGACTGTTGGGCTAGGCCTCCACAATGAGGCTCATACCTGCTTACCTGCCTTGTTAGCTATAACCCTATCTGGTATTGATTATTTATGTGTATGAATGTATTGCCTGCATGTGTGTACACCCATGTTATGCAATGCCCATGGAGGTCAGAAGAGGGCTTCAGACACCCTGGAACTGGCGTTATGGATGGTTGTTAGCCACCATGTAGGTGTAAGAGCAGTTAGTGCTCTTAATCACTAAGCCACCCACCTCTCTAGTCCTATTATGTGTATATGTGTGTGTGTGTATGTGTATGAGTGTCTGTGTACATGAGTGCAGGAAGCCAGAGGCATTGGATCCCCCTGGAACTGGAGGTATTTGTGAGCAGCCAATTGAATTGAAGTCCTCTGGAAGAGCATATGAGTTTTTAACTGCTGAGCTATCTCTCCAGCCTTAAGAGTCTTTTTAGTGTGCTTTTATGAGCCTGTCTCTTCAGCTGTAAACTGAGAGTAGGGGGTACTCACTTCTCAAGATTGTGGGAACAAATATAGAGAAATTAGGAAAAAATTCCAGACTGGGTGCTGGATCCTTAGTGGGTGCCTGCCTTGCAGGTTTAGGGCAGTGGCTGGAGTTATCCCCCTGACTTTTCTCAGGGCTGTGGTGTTTAGCTCTTCCCCAGAAAGACTTTCAGAAGAAAAATACCTGGGACACTGGAGCACTCTCTGAATATTCTCTGAATCGCATTAGCTACAGCTTCCATTTCCTAAGCCAGGTTTACTATTAATGGATTTGTATGGATCATCTCATTTCTTTTTTCTTTTTTTGGTTTGAGACAGGGTCTCCCTGTAGCCCCAGCTGTCCTGGAACTCACTATGTAGACCAGGCTGGCCTTGAACTCACTGAGATCTGCCTGTTTCTGCCTCCCAAGTGTCATTTATTTCTCATAACATTTGAGTAACAGCTCTTATTATTGTCTCTGTCTCATTCAGTAAGCAAGACATTGGTACTCAGAGGTAAACACTTAAGGTCATCCGGTTATTAAGAAAAAAAAAAAGCCAGGTCTGTGTTGATTCTTTCAGCCTATCAGCATTTATTTAATGATTGTGTACTAGGTGCAGGTCCTGTGTTCAGCAGCTGAGGATATATTGGGGAGAGATTAAAGGGATTTGACTAGTCAGGGAATCTGGGAAGGCTTTGGGGAGGAGGCAGCACAGAGATAAAGAGATGACCTGTTTTCAGAAGCTGAGCATTTGGTTGAACTCAGCTGCTTTTGGGTTGATTTACAGTCTTCATAGTCAAACCTCAGGCTGCAGATTTCTGCAGGGTCATGTGGTCTCTGACACCATCTCCAAGGAAGGGGAATGGCCTATATCCAGGAGCCTGTGATAGAGGGCAACTCTGGCCCTTCCCCACACATTTTAGAATCCAAAGCTGAAAAAGTATCTTTTCCAGGCAACATTAAGGGCTCTCTCTTTTTTATTTTTTTTTTAAAGTATTTTATTATTATTTTTTTATGTGTATGCCTGTATTGCCTGCATGTAGGTAAGTGCATCCGTGTTGTGCAATGTCCTCAGAGGACAGAAGAGGCCTTCAGATCAATTTGCAGGGGCCAGTGGCAGAGCACTGCTCTCTACCCTTGGGGGAGCTCAGAACTGATGACTGAGAGATCTTTTTTTTTTTCGGTCTTTTTGAGACAGGGTCTCCCTGTAGCCCCAGCTGGCCTGGAACTTACATGTAAACCAGGCTGGCCTCAAACTCACAGAGATCCGCCTACCTCTACCTCCCAAGTGCTGGGATTAAAGGCCTGTGCCACCACTCGGGCAGGAGAGATCATTTTTCTTACAGCCCAGGGAACCAGGGCCATGTGAGAACAGAAGGGACCTAGTATCCCTTGGAGGGAGGTATTGAGGTGCTATTGAAGAATTTGAACAGGATCTAAAAGGTGAGAGTTTGCAGTGGCAATGACATTTCACCTTTCTGACTCACCCATGCAACCGCCCCATCCCTCTTGGGTGATTTCATTTGTGTGTGATAGTGACAATATCAGAGCTACCTTGTTGAGTATGTCTGTGAGATTTACACAACACCGCGTTAACCTAAGTCTCTCCTAACAGTGGCTGGAGAAGATTAAGGATGAAATAAAGGTTAGTTAATACTGATAATGGACAGCTACTGGAAAACGCAGGAAGGCATGGCAAAAACTCCTGAAGAGCAGGTGAGGGAAGGGGTGTGGTAAGCATCGTAGACCGGGCTGGAATGCGAATGCCAGGATAAAGACGTAATAAAATTAAGGACTGACACACAGGAGCCAAATGACCGCAGAGGCCGACGGGGCGAGTGAGCACCTACCTACTGAGGAGGCTTCGGTGTGACCCAGGGGAGGAAAGGCAGGCAAAGCACCAATGTTCTTGCTCTTTGTCTTCAAGCAGGCCAGGTAGTGCTTAAGCCCTGGGCTGCAGCCACGAGTTTTCGCTGACGGTGGTGGTCACTGAAAAGGGCCACCGGGGCATGTCTGGAGGCCGGTGCAGCCCGCCACCTGGCGGCCGCAGAGGTGGGATCCGGTGGAGGAAGTGGAGAAAATCCAGGAGTTTGTTTAGGGAAAACCTCGGGGAAACTGAGGCAATGTGAGAATTTGAGTACTGGAATCTTTCAGCAGGACACGGTTCCTAGTCCAATTCCCACTTTCTAGATAGGTAAAGTGAGCAAAGGGAAAAGAGAACAGGCTGGAAAGGGGGCCACTCTTAAGACAGAATGCTTTAGGGCACCCCGGAGTCGAGAGTCTAAAGTTTTGCTTTGTTGAAGACATCAATGGCCCGCATCTTAGTTTGCCCATCTGTTCTATGGGCAGGGGTGGAGGGGGCGCGAAATGAAAGAGGAGGAAGAGAAACTTTTAGTCTTTCCCGCCCACCCGGAGGTAGGAGGCTTTAAACACTTCTCCGGAAAGCAGAGTTGTATAGATTGTATTTGCATACGAACGCAGTCACCTTGAGTTAAACTCGGGTCCTTTAATCTCCGGTCCAATTTGTCCCGCAGCCGCGCAGGAAGGCCCCCTGAATACCTACAAACCCCGCCCCCTGGGGCCCTGCCCACAGGGCTGGACTTGGTTGCACGTGCTCACCCGGCTCCCGGTCGGTCCGCCTCCTTGGGAGGACTCATTGTTGGTGAGGGGGACAGAAGCAGTCGAACAGCGCTCTGAGCACGGACAAGTTACAATAGAGAGAAGACCATTAAATAACCGCTTGTTTTATATTTATCGGAAGTTTGATCCTAGTTCTTGATACCGAGTAAGTCTTGGCTTTTCCTTTTCAGGACGGCCTTATCCTTCCCTACATCCCTGCAGTTGGTAGAGTCCAGCGTGGCCGGCCTCGCCAAGAGGACTACATTTCCCAGCACACCCCGCGGGGCCGTGCGTGGCAGCGGCGCGTGACGCTAGAGAAGGGAGCTGGCCAGTGCTGAGGGGGCGCGGCGCGGAGCCGGGCGGCTCGGGGCCCAGAGCGCGCCGTGGCCGGGAGCCCGCCGGCCCCTGACAGCCCCCTCCCCCCCGGTGGACGACGAAGACGACGACTAGGGCGCGGGTCATGGCGGAGCAGCGACCCCAGCGCGGGCCCTGACCTCCGCCGCATGGAGCGGGACGAACGGCCGCCTAGCGGAGGGGGAGGCGGCGGGGGCTCGGCGGGGTTCCTGGAGCCCCCCGCCGCACTCCCTCCGCCGCCGCGCAACGGTGGGTGAGGGGCCCCCACCCGCGACTCCCTTTCCTCTCAGCCGACTCTCGCTCTGGGACGCCGCGATGTGGACAGCACTGGCGGGGCTCCCGGGTCCCCCTGCGCGGACACAGTCGCGCGTGGTCCGCTGGGCCCAGGTTTCCCCTCCCCCCAACCCCCCATCGGGGCCCGATGGGTACCTCCCCCGGGCGTCCCGGCCCCCTTCTCCCTGGGCTTCCCCACGCGGGAGTCTCCGGCCGGGCGGTCGCCACACCTAGGCAGCCTTCACCTTCCGAGCTTGTCGGTTCTCCTGTGCGCGGACCCTGGATTCCCCCTGCTCCCCGCATGGTGCCCATCCCGGACCTCCGAGTGCTGCTCCCGCCCCCTGGCCTCCCCTTCCCCGGCGCCCGCACGCGCGCGTCCCGGCCCGAGCCGCCTCTCCCGGGAGGCGACTTTCTGCAGGCGTGGGTCTCCCGGGCTTGGAGGGGGGACACCTGCCTGAACCCGGCGCGTCCCGGCCCAACCCGGGCCCAGCCTAGTTCCTCGTCCGGTGCTGGGACTTCCTCACCTGGCCGGGCGGCTCCGGTCCCTCGCCCGCCTCCCTCTCTCCTCCTCCCTCCGCGGCCGGGTGTTTTATTTGTATCTGTTTGATATTTTTCCCCTCGGTGTTTGCTGCGGAATGTTTTTATTGGTAACGTGTAAGGCGCTTTTGTGAGGTCGTAAAAGGTGAACTTTTGAACTTGGAAAGCGCCCTGGAGCAATTAGCGCAGGCGATAGCCCCGGGAGGCCTGCATTACAAAGGGTGTTCGTAGTCGGCTGGCAAACGCTGCCGCTGCAAACCCGATTTATTTATTTATTTGCCCTGCCTTCCACCTTTCACATCTCATTTCCGAATAAAGGGCAGGCTCTCGGAGATTCCTGCCTCCTCCCCTCTCCGTGCCATAAACTCGCAATTCTCTAGAAGATCTGGGACCCGAACAGTGTCTAACAAGTACCAGATTTCAGATTGAATGCAAACACCCGGCACAGTTAGGAGGCACTAAAAATTAATTGCTTTAGCAAGAAGTTTCTCAGTCAGGACAGTGACCTGGCAGGTGTGAGTAAAAGTAACCTGAAAATGGGTCACTCGGGCGCTCAATTGTTGAATGAGCGAGGAACTGCAAATCAGAGAAATCCTGAATTCGATCTACTTCTTCATACGTTTATTAATTCAGCAAACGTTTATTGATTTAGTAGATCTCTGTGCGTTTTTTTTTTTTTTTTTTTTTAAAGGGGGAAAGTGTTTAGAAGGCCTGGTTAATTTGGTAGGATGGTGATCAAATAGTGATGTGTTTTCAAAGCTCTTCTTTTAAAGAGGTGTATGGTGTGCGGTGTCTAGGCTGGGCGTCCGGTGAGGTGTCTTTGGAGACTTGATTTCTGAATGTGAAACATGTTTGAGATCGATAAAATCCCACATCACAAAGGGAAGGCAGGAATCTGGTTAGGGCAGGCGACAGTATCTGTAGGAACAAAGATGATTTCTTTAATGTATTTGGGTTTTTTAAGGCTAATTTATATGGAGATTTGATTTGTTATTAGTTTGTGAATATTATAACTCCCTTATGTAAAATTTGCCATGCGGATTTTTAAAAATTTAAGCTCCAGGTCTATCCTGTTAGTGTATTTTGGTAATGCCTTCCTATGTGCAAACAATTCCTCTACCCACCTGTGCTTATGATGTAGATGGACTGGTTTTATTGCAGCCATCACTTTCAATTCTACTTTGAGAATATTATTGTAAAAGAAGCCAAAGAACAATGCATTTGTTATTAATTATTCATTAGTACATTTTAAAGACCTGAGTGGCAATTTAGCTCTTAATCAGATTTCTGTTTAATAGTCACCTTTTCCTCAACTAATCAGAACCATTTAAAAGAATCTTAAGGTGCAATCCATTTAGGCTAAAGTGTCTTTAATATTTCACATCAGTACAAATTGGTGATAATGAATTTTTGTTGGAAACAGGAGTACTTTTAGTGGCTTTATGGGTTTAAAAGAAAATACATGAAGTTGTTGAGGAATATCTTGTTTTTCAGTGTAAAAAATTAGCATTGTGGTCACAGTGTTTTACAGCTTTTTATTAGTATTTATCGTCCTCACAGAATTGCCAAAATATAAAATAAACCTTGCTCTTACAATAGTGGACATTTTTTTTTTTTTTGCTTCCTAATGAATATTTTTCTCCAGAGATAAATGAAATTGTTTAATTTCTGATCAGAAAAACCCCTCACTTTTCATTTCCATTTTTTGTGAAATATTTGCAAGAGACAGCCATCTACAGAGGAGGTCTTTGGTCTGTCTTGAAGAAATAAAGTGGAGGTGGAATTTTAGAAATGTTTCCTGCCGGAAACGCCACTGATGCTGAATTTACAGTCCTTGGGATGTTTTTTATGATTGCATCAGGGCAGAGTTACTAGCCTTTTGATGCACCATCACCCTTCCAGGAATTCCTTGTGCTGACTGTGCTATTTTCGGTTGTTGCTTATAGGTTTTCCTAACATGAACTAATTTAGTTGCAAGAGGATTGCTTCCTTTTGGGATTTCAAAGGAAGATGAATGATTTGAGAAAGCATTTGCTGAGTATTGCATTTTTTTTTTTAATTTAAGGGAATGAGGGAGTAGATTTTTAAATATTTACGGTAAAAGAAGGGAATAAGCCATTAAAAGTAATTAAAAACATATTTCACATAATTATATAATGGAAGAAATGAGTTCACTAAAGAATGTGATGCCTTTTCCCCCTTGGTATGACTATACCAGGGAAATGCTTCTTTCTGAAAATAAGTTAGCTACTATTTTACAAGTCTAGCTTACAGTTCTGTGACTTGAAAAGTTAATTCTGGATTAACTGAGAATTTACTAGTTTCCTTAAAAAGAACACTGTAGCACTGTTCAAAGTTATGCATTCATTCATTCAGCACACAGATTCCTCCCCCCTTCCTCCCCCCTTCCTCCCCCCTTCCTCTCCCCTTCCTCTCCCCTTCCTCTCCCCTTCCTCTCCCCTTCCTCCTTTCTTTTTCCTCCTTTCCTTTCTTTCTTCAGTAGGTTCTGTAATCTCCAAAGAACCCTGAAAGACAGCAGTGAACATAATTTGGGGCAGTTGAGATGTTAGATGACCAAGTTTCCAGTCTCTGAGGTACAATTCACAGATTCTGAGTACTTCTAGTTCTCATAGAGTAGGAGCTGGGCATGCATCTGAAATTCATTGTGAATATTATAGCCAAAAGTATGCTTGTGCAAGGATGTGAAAAGGTATTAGAAGGGAAGCTAATGAAAAGAAATGCTGGCAAATTGTCAAAACTTTGACCATATCATATATTTCAATACTCATAATTTCTTGATTTCTCACCCTCTCTGCCTTTTTTCCTGGGGTTGTGAGGCAAAAGTAGAAAATATGTTTTAGGTTAAAATACATAATTTTAGGAAAGTTTATAAAAATCTATTAAGTAGAACAATAAAAATGCCTTATTTTGTATGTAAAGCAGATTATAGTCATCTTGTATACGAAAAAGGGTCAGAATCAACAGTTTTGAATCAACAGATAAGAAGCAGGCTCCCATTTCAACAAGAAATATCTGTCCCTGAAACAGCTTTAAACAGAAGATTGCTGTCTAATGTGCTCACATAGGTAGTGATTTAGATAACCAATTCTTTGTAATATCTTGAAAGTATTTCCAAAATAAACATGTTTTAAAGGAAAGAGTTTTCTTTCAAAACTTGTAGTCTAAGGTCAACTTAAAGAAATTTTAAATTTATTAAAGATTTTCCTGGTTTAGATAATTTCTTGAACATTTATGGATGTCTCTGGTTGATAACTAGGATTCAGAGATCCCAGAACTACCAGAAGTTGGTGAGGAAGAGGCTTGGTATTGAGCCAGGTCATTTTTCAGATATTGAGATTTTTTTTTTGTGTTAACCCTTCAGATTCATCTGAGCTTAACTGTAACTTTGAAAAACATCTGGATGTAACTTTTATATGCAATATTCCTAAAATCAATGCCAGTCTTCCTGTTTCCTAATGTTCTCCAGCATAGTTGAGAGTGTTAGGTTGTAATGGAAAATTGGGGAGGGGGATAACCCAAACTCATAACATTGTGAGCTATCCATTGTTTAGAAACAGCTAAGAATAATTTATTTGAATAAAATGTTTCTACTTATTCTGTACGTTCCTATGGCCTGTTAAACAGCAACCTTTCTAGAACAGCTTCTAAAGAAAACTTTTTTTTTTTTCCGTGGGTACAATTATTTAAATAAGACTTTCCTAGTGTACCCAGTAATTCTAATTAACAGTGATTTAGTTTGGGAGCTGACCAGGATTTCCTCAGCTGGCTGCTAGGGAGCTGAATTGCTTTTTTCCCCACCCCCAGCTGCATGGAGTCTTTTGATCCCAAGCTACCCTGGTTGTCATTTGAGAAAGCAAATTGAGAGAGAATAAGTAGGGAAAATAGCCTACTTTGAGCTTCATTTGCATTTCTGAATTTTTGTTCTTAAATTATAGGAATAACTGAACCTTTAAATTTATGTTGATGGAAGAAAGCAGGATTTTCTTAAAAATACAGTTTTTCTTTTAAATTTTTCAAAAATTTGCCTTTGTGGAGTAGAACAGTTTTTTTTATTCAAAGTAATTGATGGTTTTTTTCCTTCAGCATTTTGTTTTATTTATTTCAAATATTTTATTTTATGTGTGTGAGTGTATTGTCTGCATGTAGCTAAGTGCACCCATGCTGTGCAGTGCCAGCGGAGGACAGAAGAGACTGTCGGATCCCCTGGAACTGGAGTTATGGACAGTTGTTAGCTGCCATGTGGGTGCTGGGATTCAAACCTGGGTCCTCTGCAAGAACAGTGTTCTTAACTGCTGAGCTATCTCTCTAGCCCCTCCTTCAGCATTTTATAATCTCAAATTGAAAATTTTAAATTCTTAAGTTTCATACAAGTAAATTCTATAATTTTGTTATATTCAGAATTAACATTAAAGAGTGTC